CTCTTCCCTCCTCCTTAAGGCACAACTACGTTATTACTAGCACCTTAGATTCGCCCCGTGATACTTTGGCCGTCCTCATCCTTGAACTGGAGTAATGCATTGGAATTTGGCGAACCCTCAAGATATCGTCTCACCTCATTCACGTTTCCAGAACAAGCCGCCGATACCAAGACGACAGAAGCGCGTTGGTTAATCTCTTCCTCCACTCCATGCAGCAATTTAAACATAACTATAGGTAATTGATAGTGATATTCGGAGATGACTCACGTGACCCTGGCTACTTTCGCAACTTTACGCCATGTACTCGCTCTACGTGGTTCTTAAAAGCGCTCAAACTGGTTAGGAAGTCACCCAACTGCTCGTGAGTCGATTGTTGGCTTGTTAGTCAGTCTGGTTGTGAAAAGGGGCTTATGAAGAAGGTCAGTATCAACTACAGGAGAAACTGTCTGCGAAGGTAAAGTCAAAAACATAAGATAACGCCTAACAGGCTATTCATTAATGTCATTTACTTAATCTTATAACTGAAGTAGGACGACCAAACCTACGTATCTCCTCATTCCACGTAACTTTGTCGTACTCATTAACAATGAGCTCCTCAGCTTCTTTCAGTGCCCAAGTTCCCCGGAGGTCCTCAAGAGTGCCCTAAGTTGGCTTCTAATAGATCTTGAACTGAATGCGTCCATCAACACCTGACCGGATCGCTCCTAAGCGTGAGTACTCAAAAACCTGCCTTTTGCTAACCAAGGCGCGGCTTCTTTTGAATACGATGTTCGCCAGAGCCAGTAGTTCTTGTTGTATTCTTCTTTCTCTTCTGATTACTCCGTTGGATCCTCCTAGTGGTCTCTTCATTGTCCGCCACACGTATTATAGCACCTTCCAAGTCAGTCTCTCGGCTAACAGTTCTCGATATAATATCTCTTAAATCCAAGTTAAAGCCTCTAAGACCATTTTCAAGGACGGACTAAAGATATTCTCGAGAGTTTTACAGCTTAATGTCGGGGACAGAATCATAGTGCCTTGTATTGATAGGTCATGACCCGGCTGGAGGTGCGAAAGATTCCTTTACGGAGATAAAGGGTTGTAGCAATGAACGGCGGCGAGTGGGGGACAGCCAGGAATAATTCTTCTCTAAAGTAATTCGATCTATCCTCACTATTATGAAGTTAGCATTCGCCTAAAGACGATAAACGTGGAGAAGAACAATGGGGGAGTCCGGTAGGGACGTTCAAGCTCCCTTTATGGACGAAAGGGTAAGAGCGCTCTGTCGACAAGAGTAGAGGGGAGCCAGTTAAGTAAAAGCAGTCAGGTTATTAAAATCTGGCAATGGGACTTTAAGACGATGGAGGAGCCGTCTATATGGCCGCTACAAGGCCCTCCTCTTTATCGGTGACATGAACCTAGCTCTAGTGCCTACAGACGATAGTTCAGCAAGCAAGGATGCTGAAGAAGACGCGGTTATGGAGTCCCAACTTGCCCTGCCATAGAACGTCCACGTATTTGGCATCAAAATAAACACAAGACCACCTTCCGAGTCCTTGGGATATGCCATCGCATCGTAATGCAGGCAGCCTGACACTTTCCCCGTGCACGTGAACAAGGTGTAACGCTGGAACTGAGTTTCTCGCCTCTCCAACATCCTTTTGCAGAGATGAGCCCAGGATTTACTTGGATGGGAAGTATGACGAATACTCGGAACGGGTGAAAGCTTCCCAATGGTGTCTTGTCGGGTTAACCAGGCACAATAAAGGATAATAGATGCACGAAACCCCAGCATTTCCGCTGGTCGTTCCCGAGCCTGGTAACACACTCGCGGCAAAGCAGGGAACGACCAGAGCTGGCAATAGGGTCAGAGAAGCTGACCACAGTGAACATTGTCGGAAATGCGCTCTCATCGGACAGACATCGCGGGGTAATTCTGCATAGAGAGGTTAGGATCTAATCTGCGAACTGCCGGGGCATAAGTAGTAGGATAGACGCTTGATAGCCTTGGTCGCGGACTACGAGAGCAGGAATGCTATATTGGACGATTTCGTCAGCCGAGCCGAGGCCACGAAGAGAGTCGAGCTCCCATGTAATCCCGTGGGGGTGAACACGATCATACAAAAAGGACGACATTTCGCGCCAGTCGGATTCAACGATTTGGTCTATTGTAGACAGAGAGGTTACGACTGAGGAAAGCGTGGCTGAGACTATCAACATCAGCTTCGTTTGCGCGCAAGGGCGCCCGATATTGTGGCAAATCTGTCGCCCAAGCTGGCTTCAGCAGTTTTTTCCTCGCAATGGCCTCCGCGTCAAGGCCCTTGTACGGCAGCCTATAGAGGTCACTGTTGCAAAACTCAGAAAAACTCAATCCAAGGTGGGGACGACAAGAAACTAGACCCACAGTACATTGGACGATGTACCTCAGCTTGTAATTTTATGGGATTTCGTACCAACAGCGGTTTGCAATGACAGCTGCGAAGGAGCTGCGAAGGAGCTGCGGCCATACAAGAGATACAGGAAACTGTTTACCAGACATTTGACCCCTCAATTGTCATCATCTCCTCCCTCCTCATCTTCGGAATCCTCGGGTTTATTGAGCCGCTAATAATAAAGTCAATTGCGGAAACATAGCCAGCTAATTTGGCTCACTCACAATCCACAGCCGAGCAGCCTCTGCAATTGTCTCCAACGCCAGAAGCTTTCGCTCCTCACAAGTCTTCTCAGCTGCCTCTCCGTGGGAAGCCAAAGCCAGAGCGGGTACTGCACCGGAGGCAGCAGCGACACCAAATGCACGTAATTGCTGCGCTGCGTTTTGCGCGGCAGCTTGCCAAGCATCGTCAGGGTCACCATTGGTATCTTTGATCTGACGATTGAGCCGCCAAAAAGTGCGTACGGCAGCAACAGCGCCGGCAGGGACCTGCGAGCGTAAATAAATCAGCAACCCACCCTCTTCCAGAACCAGACAGACCACCACCTACCGGCCTACAAGTATGGCCATTTCTTGCGCAATCCCAGCAAGCTGCACCAGTATCTAACCGGCGCGCGTTAGCACGGTGGCATTTCTTTCATTAGAATAACCCACTCACTATTCTGAGAGGCACATTCGTGGCCAGGAGCTTTGGTTGCGCGAGTAACGCATGGACGGCATGGGAAATCACGAGCCGAGCCGATAGGAGGATCCTTTTTGGTTTGCTTTTTCCTCTTCTGCGCACACAATCGCCTCAGTATGTTCCATCAGCAAAAACGACGACGGAATGGATCTTACGGTAATCCTGCCTGCTGTCGCCTGGGCGCTGGGCTGGGCTTTTCGTTTGCCACTGCTGTCTCTGGTGGTTTTTCTGTCGGAGTTCCTGTCCGGTGCTTCAGCGACAGCAGTTGCGCCTGTTCTAGCGCGTTCGACAACAGACATGTCGATGGCGGCCATTGAACAACTAACCTGTCGCAAGAATCAGTGGTGACGGTGCGAAGGGTCAATATATAACCTGTCAGCAAGAACCAGAGCCCCTTCAAGTCCCAAAAAGAACATCCCACCACCATCCCTCACATTTTAGCCGCGGCGGGCCAGCACCCGCACCGCTGCGGGGTAGTGCGGTGGATTAATCACTACCGACCCCCTTTTTCTGGTCTGCGAGACATTTGCCGCGAACTTCCAATTGTCTACCACCGAACGACACCATGCCGCGGCCACCGAATCCAATTGACCAGTACCGTGACTATGTCAGTTTGCTCTATCTCAGCGGTGTCCCAAGAAGCAAGATAAGGTATAAGCTCCAGCATCATTTCCACATAACTGTTGATCTGAGCACGATATCTCGGCGCATCGCGAGTTGGGGTCTCCCACGTCAACAATCACGCACCAGCGAGAGTCCCCAGCTGATTGAGGCTATCCGCGATCTCGTCTTCCGCGTTGGTCTGACCGAAAAACAGACGCTGGCAGTTTTGCAGCGGCAAGGTTGGCCGATCACCAAGCGGGGTTTAAAACGCATTAGACTTCACCCAGACCGCCGCTGGGTGCGTCGCATCGATAGTGATGAGGAGCGGCTTACACTGCTGATGAAAACAGAACAACTTATCATTGAAATGACGCAACGGTCCAATGCCATCGCAGGATATGGTAGGAGGTTTCTTCAACCCTACCTTCGCCACCAAAAGCAACTCTGGGTGCCAAGAGATCCCCTTTTCGAGATGTACAAAATCATGTTCCCGAACGAGGTCGAGATGCGAAAAAGAATGATGCGGAGGAAGAAGGGTCAATTCCTCGTTCCAGGACCGAACTACCAGTGGTGCATTGATGGTCACGACAAGCTCAAAGCGTACGGCTTCGAGATATACGCTGCAATCGATGCCTACTCACGCAACATCATCTGGTTTTACGTTGGCCATTCTGCCACAACTGCCTTGAGCGTGTTGAAGCAGTATCTAGCGGCATGTGACGCCTATGGCTTCCGACCATGGTATCTGCAGGCAGACAGAGGCCGCGAAACGCCCTTAGTGGCAGCCGCCCACTGGAATTTCGCCTTGGCTGCAGACGGGCGCGTGGAATGGCATGGGCAAGTATTTGAGCAAGGCAAAAGATTGAGGGATTCCTACAAGACGGGCCCGAGCACGAAAAACGTCAAAATCGAGAGCTGGTGGGAGCGAATGCTCCACGTCTCATCAAGACAATGGGTGGACTACTTCGGTGAGCTCGCTAGGGACGGCGACTTCGATGGCGAAATGCTGGAGGATCAGATTGCCATGTACGCCGTCTTCGAAGACGTGCTGCGGCAGGAACTCTTCGACTTTGTAGAGGCATGGAACCTACACCGCATACGCCTGCAAAAGAACCGTCCCCACGTGGTTCACGGCCAACCGTGGATGAACTACCACTATCCCGATCCGATAAAGGCGTGCAACTGGGGTATACCGATTGACCGATCGGCTTTAAACGAAATGGCACGGCCATTGTCTAATATCGATATTGACACATGCCTAGAGCCAGAGACGAAAGAGTGGTGTCGAAGGGCTCTCACAGAGATGGGCTATGACGAGGTAGTGGGCGGCAGCCACCAAGACTCTGATAAGCTCCGCCCGTTCAAGCGCTTCTATCTTGGCCTCCGCGGGAGGATTGCCCAGCACGTCGAGAGCGGCCGGCCACCCATATTGGCTTATCGAAAGGCACCAACAGGAGGGGTTGCTGAATATGTAAGCGACTATGTCTGTATATGTATTGAAACTATCTAATTGCGTTTAGCAAGCGTTGCTTGATCGAGCAACTCAAGCCCAGCAAGATGATTTTGAGGACGGTGAGCCGACAGAGGAGCCTTTGGTCGAGCTTGGTTTTGGAGACGAAGAAGGGAACGATATCGAAGGAATAAGCGATGATGGCTGGGACGCGGTGGACGGTGACATATACGACGGAGCGTCGGAGTAGTCAATCCTTCTATTTTCTATGCCGAGATGCAAATGTTGCCGGGGTTTTGGTGCCTCTGAAGCGCGTAGAGTGAGCTGGCTGAAGTTCTTCGATTGGCATATTGTCGACCGGGTCTACTTGAGCTCCACCAGCGGACTCATAGATGCCTGCTGACGATAAGCGCACCTAATGAGGTCAGTCTTTAATTTCGCCGAGTCGGCTTGGCTTCTTACAAGCTCCTGGGCATTTTTGGTCTCGTCTTCATATTCGCCCTCCTGCCCTGCCTCTTGCTCTGCGTCATCCTCGTCTCTGATTCCGTCATCGATACTATTCGACACCAAATCGGAGGGCGAATGTTCCATCTCACCTAGTTCTTCCACATCCAACTCATTGCACGTCAATCCTGGCGAAGATGTATCAGCATCCGGATCGTATTGCTCCGTCTTAACATGAATCTCTTGTTTGATTTCATCTCTTTTAGTCTCGTTCCCCCTTTCGACGTCCTTCTCCTGCTTGATCCGCTTCTTGTGTACAAGGGATGGAGTCTTGTCCTCCTGTTTGATCCTCCGTTTCTTGTTCTCCTTGGTGGGAGTCGAGTATTCATCTGGCCTCAGCGGCGTAATCGGCTCCTGCCTGTCAATTACTTGTGTGGACGTCAAGACGACGAGAACCTTCAACTGCCCAGCTTGATTGTTGGGAAAATGCCCCGAAGCTAGCATACTCGAAGGCGTGATGTGCTTGTCGGTATTTGGAACGGTGACTATTTTCTTGCCGGAGAACGCTGAAGCGAAAGAAAGGCTCCAAAGGCTTTTGTTGGAGGGATCAATACTACTTGGAAGTGGACGTAGGTGCTCGAACAGTGTCTCGGTGAACGATGGCCAGGTAAGTAAATCTACCGAGTTGAATTTGATCACGGTGTCTTTCAGGGGCAATACTGTCTCTGGAACCTCGACCACGAGGCCATTGAAGTATCTGGCCTCCAGGCTCACAAGCAGAAGACTGATGTGTACCCACTGGTAGCCAGTGCGCTGCCTCGTAGGCTTTCTGGTGCTGGCTTTGGAGTTCTGTATGGCTTGGCTGGCCGCAGATGCAACTGCTCCGAACGGCGGTTGCCTCGGAGCATGTAATCGCGCTCGTGCATCGGCTCCGTTGAGGACCGACACAGTGTTCGGAAGTAGTTGGGCGAGTCCAACATTGGCCGATGACGACGACTTTGTCCTGTTGCGCATGAGCTGACTGGCAGGACTGACTGGCAGGACTGACTGGCCTTGGCGGGGAGTCTTCGAGCTCAACCACCTCGTCATGGGGGACAGGACGTGCAGGAGTTCTAGATCTGGCTCGACTCTGGGAGGAAAAGGGGTTCGCTAATCCGCATCGTCCGCAATAATTCTCGCCAGCATATATGGTGGTGAAGAGGTCATGGTGTTTCTTGCCCGCTTGTACACAGTAGATGTGCTCAGCCGGAAGACTATGAGAAGTCATTATAGTCGAAGAAGAATTTTGTAAATGCAGAGAATATGAGAAGAGAAAGAGGTATTAATGGCAACAAGTTTTTAATTTTTGCAGGCCATAGCAATACTGCCTTGTGCTTCGCCTGATTCGCCAGGGCATATTGAGGCGGAGTACCATGCGCTAGTCCGCTGCTGGCCCGACGCGGGACCACTGCGAAACCTCGCCCTAGCTCCTTATATGTTGCTCGTTCAGAATTCTGACATAGGCAGGATGTCGCTGTCCTCCAATAACGAGCACATGAACACATCAGTGAAGGACTACACACAATGTCCAATAGATCCGAACAACTTCTCAATAATTTTGACCTATGACCGGGAATTAATTGGTTGTGCGAGATTCTGTGTCCATGTTATCACTCACGATACCGAGTCCTGTGCAGTGGATATTCTATTCGTTAGTTTGAGATCGCTTCGTCAAATTAAATTCGTCAGTCATCCGATCGACTCACTCAAAAAGAATTGCAGAGCCCGAGCTCCTCTAGCTCTCTAAATATGTCTGTAATTTGCCTACTCGATAATAGCAGCTGTCCACAGAACGGTTGTGATGCAAAAGCTGAGTCTTGTCGACCATCCCGGGTAGGCCTTTGTAGACGAAAATTTTGTGATCTGGCCATAAGAAAGTACCGCGCGGACCCGCTGCTAGTTCGCAGTGACTTCTTTCTCACAGATGCGATGTACTCATTGTGGGGAGATGTGGAGCGCTGGCCTCTTGGTACCCCCTGCAACAAACCTGACATGGGAGTTTTGCAACAGTGCACCCTATCGGCCTCCGTAGTCGTCGGGTCGCGCACAATCTTAGAAGCGATCGCTCCCGCATTACTTAAGAAGCTCGCGTTCTAAATCACAATCGTATTCTATTAGTCAGTAACTGCTATGTATTATGCAGCTGCCTGTTCATTCCAACCTCATCAAAGAATGTAGCTACTCGGGGCGCTACCGCTGAAATTTATTGAGAGGGTAGAGACAAGATGGATAGAGTCATCTTCTTCTTGTGCTGACACGAGGCTGTTCTTGCGTTGCCTTATGCAGTGAGCTGTGGCCAAGGTACTTGTGGTGGAGGTGGCAGAATGCAAGGGATCTTAACAAAAATTATTTGGGCGAATCAGGAGTGTTGAAAGTCATGCCCGTGTAAGACTCATGCCCGTGTAGCCAAAGTGTCATGCCCGTGTAGCAATTCCCTATTGACATTCGCAGCAAAGGTGGGCGGTCGTTCACGGAAGCTATTGGACTGGTTGAACTTGGCATGAGGTTTCATCTATGGTAACATGGGCGCAATTCATACATTTCACGATTTCTAATGGTATTGAACCACATCCATACAAAAAGAGCGGTGCCATTTTGGGTGTCATCAGGAAGCTTAAACTCCCCGCTCGGTCTGAGAGGACATTGACTAATATATGAGTGAATGACCTTCCATGTCTTACCTTGTCAAATGACAGCTACCTCCGCCATGAGTTCCAGAATCAGCGAGTGTGAAGTTGCTACGGGTGGACAGTTAGAAATAGAGCCCCCTAGTGAGTAAATAGCGTGACTTACTGTTGCCACTGCACCTCTATCGCGTCCAACAAGACTGTACTCCCGGGGCTGTAGTCTTCGCCACCGAATGAGCTTTCATTGAATTGTTCTATACCAAGCCAGGAGGATTTGCAGGGACTTGAGACATGGGATGAGTTTTACAATCATTGGCACTCAATCATGGGGTCCCCAACCAGGGAGATGTTCGCCGCGCGTCTTTTGAAGTTCGAAGAAGCGTACCTTACAGACTATATCGAAGAGGTTGGATATATTAAAACGACTTGGCTTGATCCATACAAGGAGAAGCTTGTTAAAGCCTGGGTTGATCAGCATCTTCACTTCGACAACGTGGTTACTTCACGAGTTGAGGGCATTCATGGATTGCTAAAGAGCCATCTGGAAGTATCCACCCTAGACTTGTTCGAAGCTTGGAGAACAATAAAGCTGGTATCAGCAAATTAACTAGCTGAGTTAAGGTCCAACCAGGCTAAGCAGCAAATTCGCACTCCAATTGAACTTTCTGGAGCATTATATAGTACAGTCCATGGCTGGGTATCGCACCAAGCTCTGCGGAAAGTCGAAGAACAACGAAAGTTGTTGCTGAAGAAGGATTCGCCTCCGTCGCGGACTTGTACCGGGTCTTTTACTCGATCGCAGGGCCTACCATGCGTTCACAAGCTAGATGCTTTGTTGACACAAGGCCATGCACTGCAACTAGAAGATTTCCACACACACTGGCGTCTGATACGGAAAGACACTCCCAGGCTACTTCTAGAGCCTCGTAAACGTGTCGACTCGATTATGACAAATTAAACGCTGCCGTTGTCAAGCGTCCGAAGAGAGCTAAGCGGCTTCGAACTGGTCGAGAAAACAACTGCGGTCAGAGCGCCGCCTTTATGTAGCAAGTGCCATATACTAGGTCACACAAGGACGTCCAGGGAATGCCCTCTGAGATATGTAGAGCTCGAAACTCAAATGCCTACCACGACAGGACACAGCCGGTCAAACTGCCATAAAAGCAGACCAATTACGACCTCCGAACGGCTGAGCCACATGTATCGTCAACAGTGTCAACGCCTCTGCAGCAAGGACCAGGTCTACCTTCTGAGCCTGTGGCAGCCAGCGCAGGGAGGCCCATGTTTCCCTGCCAGGTTGCTCCAAGTTCCCACTGTGACGAGGGTTCCGACCCTGCTGTGCGAATTTTCTCAGATTCGTCCCATTTATCCTTGGAGAAAGCTACCAACTTCGACAATTTTCTGCAAACTGCAGCGATTGCATTGAGAAGTCGACGGAGCTGAAAATAGCCACGATGTGGGAACACTTTTGCCGCTTGAAATTGTTCCAGCACTTCCTTTTGACTGCTGGCGAGTTAGCTCTGTAGTTGACCACGATGTTACCGATACGAGTGGTTATAAGACCTAAGCTGCCACCTAGGCAATGATTCTTGCGTGTTCTTGACTGAGGCAGCATTATGCTTGAAGAAATGAGAGACCTGATCTTGACATCCTCCTGCTCAATCAGGAGAGGTACCCGTATCTGGAAGAGCTGGGGTTGGTGTGTGAATCGAACGAAGAGGCAAGATCGCGAGAGATGCAGCCTACAAGGAGTATATCGGCGGAATCGGAGGTCGTGCTACTTACTAGTTACCGATAGGCTGTCAAGCAGGGGTGAGTTTAGGTAAGGGTGGCGCGGCTTGTTGTGTGGTAACTTACGTGCACACTCGCATCAATGTTAAACTTTCGTCGATCAGAGTGGCACGCTTTCCGTCACGTTCAAGCTACCTCCCACCGCCAAACACGACCAGATTACAAATTATCACAGAAAGGGAACTAAAGAAAAATTATAACAGACCCACACGCAAGCCATCAGGTTCTCTCGTTGACGTAATTGAGGTAGCTCGCGTGTACATTAAATTGATCATCCGGAACAGATCGGCTGGGGTTTGACCAAAAATCTGTATGTAATTGGTCGGTCGATACAATTTCTGGCGCCACGAGGCCATAAGGTTAATATGTCAGACGGGAGCTGAGAGGCTTTCAAGGCTCAGAATGCCCCTGCGTCCAACGTGTTATGCCGGTATAGCAATTCCCAGCAAATGTGATGTGGTGGGGCGATGCTTCGCACTAGTGACGTTTTTAACGATCGGCCAAGATCAATGATATCGGGGTTTCAGAAACTGATCAGCCACCTTGCTGTCGTCAAGTGGCTGAGGAGCCTTCTTAACTCAAGATGAATGGCATGAGCCCTTCCGAGGGATAGAAGGGAGCAGCGAACAAGAAGATGATAGTTAACACGGGTCTCACAACGTGACGTATCTACCTTCTGTGCATCTACCTTCCAGGTTTAACTAACAAATACTTCAGACTGCCCACACAATATTATGCTCAAAGAGTACCCACATTTTTTCGAACCAATGTCAATCTCTCTACCCAGTAAACGTCCCTGCGGTCTCCCAAGTACTTAGCTGAACCATAACTGGCACTCAAGCCCCAAATGGTTGTCCTGAATGTGCTGTGGTTCTCATTGCAATCAACTATCTACACACTTTGTTTGCAAGTTTCTTCGTTGAGCCCTCAGAGGACTTGAGGCCTTGGAAAGTCAGCACACATTTTAAACATAGTTTCATAGGATCAGGTACCGATTGTAGGAAATGCCTCGGCCAATATGTTTTGTTCATCTATTAAAAATCTTTCTATCAGGTTAAGGGCCCATGAGATGACCCATGATATTAGGGCTTGGGCTTTGAGAAGAGCCATATTATGCTGATTATAAGATTGAATTAGTGAATATTATCAACTTCTGTGTGAAGAATGACAAGATAATGTACTCCAGGAGGCAACCCGCAAGCTTTCCAATCAGGAACTTGCTGAACATCCCAACCGGCCCGAGCTCATTATCAACATCCCGTAGTACTGTGGAAGGGTAGTCGTGCTGAGGTATCGTCTTTCGTTGAATAGCCATACCAACCTGCTTGACCACCTTCCTGGAGGTTGCATTCTCGGCTGAACTAAAACTACGATGGCATTAGGGTTAGCACTAAAAATGCGAAGTAATGGGACATGACGTCATTTTTGTGCACCCTCCTGGAAATGATAGAGGCTTAGCTGTTAAGTGATTTACTAAGTACTTACTGCCAAGTTGGAGATAACGTAATACCCCGGGCTCTCACCGGGTGGTTTATGACATTGCTGACTTGCATGTGAAGCTCTAGACCTGATCTACAAAAGTCTTGACAGTAAATCATAGGCTCCGACGACTATAATACGTTCCACAGCCTAGAAGTACTTTTTAAGGTTGGCCCTTCAGATTCGTACGCATCAATTACTTGTTTCTCAAATATATTCTAGTTTATACAACTGTCTCAGCGATTCGTCAGTTGCCTTAGCTATGTCGAAAACATTACTCAGCAATAGCGAAGCTGCCGTATCTCCCGAAGTGCTAGTAAAATCTCGACAGGGAAGTAATGCCCATGTATGCAGACGTTGTTATAATTCAGTGCGTCTATTGGGACTACAATACTGATCTCGCTTATCAGCGACCCGCAAGGCTCGACGTGGATCTGCATGCTATGACAGCGCCCTCACTCCTTATACGTAAACTGTATAATACCGGGCATACGAATCATGACGTGCCTGTTATGAAACAGTACAATGGTCTGAATGAGGCAGATGTTCTGTCTAAGTGCGTTGCAGAAGAAATACCACTTCATGCCCTTGAACACTACACGCAAGGCCCAGACCAGGCGGTAGCCCTAAGGCGTCGTGTCCTGGCCAAATTTCTTGCCATCACAGGGCTCAGTGGAAAAAGTCTTGCGAAATTACCGCACCAGAACTACAACTGGGATCTCGTCGTTGGCTCCTATTGTGAAAACGTAATTGGGTACATGCCGGTCCCGGTTGGCGTGGCTGGCCCTGTCTTGATTGATTCAAAGAATTTTTTTATCCCTATGGCTACAACAGAGGGCGCACTTATTGCTAGTACGAATAGAGGCTGCAAGGCAATTAACAACGCAGGCGGCGTCACTACGAATCTAACCGATGATGGCATCACCCGTGGTCCATGCGTCCAATTCCCCGGTACAGAACGAGCAGCTTTTGCCAAGAATTGGATTAGCTCACACGAGGGCCAGGTCATCTTGCGCGATGCTTTTGAGAGCACCAGTAATATTGCCAAGTTGCGAAGGGTCAATGCAAGCATTGCTGGGAGAAGTCTATATATCCGGTTCAAGGCGACAACCGGCGACGCCATGGGTATGAACATGATTTCAAAAGGTGTCGAAAATGCCCTGCGAGTTATGAGCCAAGACCCCAAGTTTGAAGACATGCGAGTCGTTTCTTTGTCTGGCAACTACTGCACAGACAAAAAAGCTTCTGCGCTCAATTGGATCGAAGGTAGAGGTAAGAGTGTCGTAGCAGAAGCTGTTATCCCACATCAAGCTGTTCAATCAGTCTTAAAATGCACCGCCGAAGCAATGGTTCGAATCAATAATTCAAAGAATCTTGTCGGCTCGGCGATGGCAGGAGTTATTGGCGGGTATAATGCTCATGCCGCCAATATTGTCGCCGCCATCTTCATCGCTACCGGGCAGGATCCAGCACAGGTCGTGGAAAGCGCAAATTGCATAACTCTCATGGAGTGGTAGGTAATAACAGTGCTCGAGATTTTCCTGGATAACTAATAGATTCCAGCAACTGCGTCGATAATTCATTACGTGTATCAGTCACCATGCCCTCCCTTGAAGTCGGCACTGTAGGGGGGGGGCACAGTGCTGGAGCCCCAGAGCTCCATGCTAGAGATGCTTGGCGTGGCCGGCGCGCATCCTACAGAAACAGGCCGGAACGCCCAGTGCCTAGCAAGCATTATTGCGGCGGCAACTCTCGCCGGGGAGGTGTCCCTGTGTGCCGCCCTGACGAGTGGTGACCTGGTCAATGCCCATTTGAATCTCAATAGAGCTTCACCTAGGAAGTAGGCATCGCATTAATTCACGTTCAACAGCTCTAAGTAGTTCTTACCCAGTAAAGGCAAATATCAATCCCAAGACGGGGTTTGTTTGGCGGCCTAGTGGCAGGCAAACGGAAAAACTTCTTACATTCGACAACTGCATAACTAGTTATGCTTGTGCTATTAGTTAGTTATGTTAAAATAAGCAGCAGAATCGCTTGTTCTAAAGACAAAGGATTACAATAATGCTGTTAAGCAAGGAGTACAGCCGTTATTACAGCTCAACGATCTTAGCGATCATGCCCAACTACGAGAGGCAGCAATAGCAATTCAAGGGGCCCTGATTCATACCCCGCCCAACGCTACGGATACGAGCAAGGAATGGTCAATTAGAAGCGTAGCTATCAAGCTACAGACCTGGGCCAGCTCAGCACTTCCAGCCCAACCAGAGAGACCCTCCTCCAGACAGGGAACGGCGTTCCAAGCTAATACCAGAAAGAGTAATCAGGGTAGAAGAGCAAGCCAATCCCAACCAGATCGTAAAAGAGGGCGCTCAGATAACCAGGAGGATAGCAACAAGAGAAAGAACTAAACTGTGAAGCTTGTGGCCAGCAACGACATGATTTTAGTTCCTGTTAGTCAGCTATCCCAGAACTTCGTCCTGAAGGAGTACCTGCAAATCACCGTCTAGAAGGTCTGGTGAGGAAAGTGTTGGCTGCCGATCCGGAACTAAAAGCCAAAGTAGCTGAACTTCAAAAAGCAGCACAGAAAGACCAACATCAGCAGGAACAAGAAAAGAAACAAGCTTCATTCCAGTGACAACCAGCCAAATCAAGCTTGGAACGACGAATTGTTGGTCAAGCATTACCACAGGGCGCAGCGTTTCCAATGTGTCTAGGAACCTGTCTGCAAGCGGACCAGTATCCCTTACGATCGTCAACCATTCTTGATTCTAGAGCTTCGTTAGATATATTCAACGACCTCGCCAGGTTCAAATCAATAAGAAAACCAGAATCCGGACAGGAACACTACCTGATTGCTGGTAATTCAGAGGTTAAAATCAAGGGTTATGGCCGAGTCAATTTGCCAGTCACAAGGCCTAATGGATTAATTGGCATCCTACGAATCAAGGACGCTGCATATTGTCCTGCATTTGCCGTTAACACTGTATCATTCCAGTGTCTGTATGGTCGAGGCATCCGTTAGGATATAATATCGACTCTAACACGGCTAATCCATAAATCTAGAACATTAATCTGTATAGTTCAGAGATACTACAAACAATAGGTTCTTGAGTATCAGGAGACAACCAAAGCTAGCTTACAAGCAGCAGCCGCCTATATGGCCAGAAGAAGAAGGAGGACCAGCCGAGACCCAAGACACGGTGACTGTTTGTGACTCCATGGGCTTAAATATCACTTGGCTTACCATATTTTGGAGCATTTGTACAGGTCTTATCAGCCAATTAGGGCTCATGGATTTTAATACGTATATGTGATTGCAATCAATTGCAATCAATTGCAATATAGGTCCAAATTGCCGCAATTCAATCAATTGCAATCGTGATCCCATGTGGGGCCCTGTTAATCAATTGCAACTGACCCCCGATTGCAATTGATTAACTGATTAGCAAGCCTGGGCATACACCTTATCAAGACATCGAATTATCGCTAGTTGTGCAGGATCTCATCAATTCGCTTGTATCGACCAAAACTCCGTCCGAGATATACCGGGAGATTCGACAGATTCTAGAAGGAAAGCCTGTGACCCGGCATCAGGTCTACTATCTCTGGCAGAAAGCGAATGCCGAGATCTGGCACTGTTGCCTGTTCACCTCTTTCCCCCCCACTTGTTTCGCGTGGCAATCAAGACGTGCTTCCACCAACGACTTAGCTTACACCCTTGCCGATCTACAGTCGTTGTCACTTCCGACTCACTATTTTAGCGCCGTTTTAATTGCATACTCTGCCAATTTAAGAAACGCCACTTTGACTAGGTCAGTGCATGCAGGGCGTGTCGCTTGTGACACGCTTAACAGCGTGCAACAGAGAAAATTGGACACAGTTGGACCTTGGTATTGGCCGGTAATGAACCAGTCACCACTACTCGTAAGTCTAACGCCATGCGCGGTTGAACATCTCCTTAACAAGTTAAAAAGTGTACTAAGTTGCACACATCCTAATTTCAATCATAATGCAAGTCAAACTTAACAGCCACTAGGTTGTAAAGCTAAGAAATAGAACGCTACGTAGGCGTTGGGCGCGTCGCCGGCACAGTGCGGAATGATGCAAAATCCAGTTGGGCAACCCTGCCTTAAGATACCCAGCATCAGTGTGGTTTTCCATACATGGAAAAGGGTGCAATTCACACCAGAGTGTCGCCCCACATTTATTCCCAGTATTATAATACGCCTTTCTAAACCTAGTCCGTGCGCTATAACTAATATCTATTTACTATAGATACTTACTGTATAATAGACAAGTGACACTATATAATTAATTTGTGAGAGTATCCACACCGTATTTCTGACAAGATGCTTTGTTATGGGAGCGCTGCCATGCCGTTGCATGTGAAAATGTATGGGGGGTCCTGGTATTAATCCACTAAGCTGTATCGGGCCACAGAGGGGGAAGCAGTGCGCACTAGTAAAAAGAAGCAGTGGCGAATAGCAATACACCAAACTAGAACGAAATGGAGACAGTGGGGTTGCTGAGTGGAAGCAAGTGTTGAACATGAAACAGCATCACGTGCAGGGTCCAGCCTGCGCCTTCCATAAATAGCGTGCCTTGACGGCATCTCTAGCTTACAGAATCAACGCACTCCTTTCATCTGTGTTCCGCTGTAACGTTCAGCAGCAAGGTCACTGAGAATATGGTCTATTGAGTTGTTCTGCCTCAGCTTCCAGTCTTTCGTATTCAGCTATTGCTTCTGGGTCTGCTTTGATGGCTTCAAGATCACAGCAGGTCAAGTACACCTGTTCGAGATCCTTTCCTCTACTCAATGGGCAACCACCGCTATCTCAAACACTTCCCCAGTCGTCGGCATGTCAAGCCTGTCACGTTATGAGACTCATTGTTAACTAAGCTTGTTTTCTTGAATATAAAAAAAAATTTTTTTTTATCCTTTAAAAGGGTTCATGTCTGTTATCTTTAGTTTAAAAGACTTCCCAGCCACCTGATTTCATTAGGGTGGCTGGCTAGCCTCTTAAACTACTAATATTAATAATTTTATGACATCTAGCAATTACGTCAAGTCTGCTTGTTCAACTAACAGAGGCAGCCTTATCCGACAAAGCCACCTCTGAGGTATACCATGTCTGCTAAACCCGCTAAACCTGCTATGCTGATATCATCTCTGCTAATCTTACTTATCCGATATCGTATCAGGATAGTGTGTTATCCAGATATCAGGTTAATCTATCATATCAGATATGATGTCAGGACAGGCAAGTCTGTTCAGGCGGCAAAGCGGCCGCTGAAGAGCTCGATTGTGCTTAATGCCTTCCAACACATTGTAAATATATTGGTTCAACGGATAAGACGTTACCATGGAACAAGGCTTCCTTTACACACTATGTCTAGAAGCAACTTGAGGCGTAGACAGGAATCGATCATCAGCGTCAACCGCAGCAAATTTATCCACATAGCGCAGCGTGTCGTGCTCTACCCAATCCAGATATCCCCGTATCCAGTACTTAAGTCCGTCAACGAGACCTCGCAGCGTAACATTTGCCCGGGCTGTAACGGCGTCCGCGAGCTCCAAAAAGCTGGAAATTTCAGCATCCACGCGAGCAGCGGTAGTTTCGACACTATTCTGTAAAGAACCACCCTGCTCAGCGTAGATTACCACCATGTTTCTAAATTGACCAGGCTGTCGAATTTCTACACCCAGGCTCTGAATGTCATTGGCCCAACAGACAATGTTATTTGCTCGGCGTACAAGTGCCTGCACATCAGGCTGATAGAACTCGTAAGGTTTAACCGAGCCATTGTTGGCAGCATCTGACAGAGCAGTGCAAGGGTTCATGCCACTTGTATGACGCCGGATAGTTTGATATTCACGTATGCCGACAGATTTCGGTCGTATGTGGTTGAGAATTTGAAGGCCGGCAGTTGTTGCCCATAGCCGCATTCCTTGGGCGAACCGCTCGAACGGTTCAGCCTGCAGCAGACTTCGCAGCCTGCGACAAACGTCGAGCCATGCAAGTTCACCCCATACTGGCTCCAGTCCAGCAGAGTTGAAGTCAAGAACATCAATCATAGCCGTCAAGTTGCGCAGAGTGTCACCCGAAACTGTCTCAACACGGTCAACAAACAAGTCGTCGGCGAGAAAAAACCAGACGAAGTAGTCTGCAATTACTTGAAGTAATTCTTTTGCAGCGTTTGGATAGCATCGCGCTGCGAGCCAGCCGTAACGGGCCCGTATTACCCGACTGCGATGTTCGTCGTTCACCAGAAGATCGTAGTGATCAGCCCACTCAATCATCCTCGCCTCAATCACCTCCGCATGGGGTGAGCGTGCCCCAGGCCAAGGAACATTAAAAGCCGGAAGGCGTAATGCCGAAAGTTGAGGCTCCAAGATTTGTTTTTCCATGACTGAATAAACGAGCTCTTTGGGAAGCTTGTTTCGTAGTTGACAAGTTTTGTAAGTCCAGACTTCCTGAGGAGCAAGACTCGCAGCATTTATGGACACCAGAGTGCGACACCAGAGTGTTATTCATTCTCAAGCATTTACGGGAACTCCGCAACTTAACACTGCAATAACTTAAGCAGTCAACGACTCGGTAGCGGAGTGTGTCCAGTGTGGGCAATCGACGTACCGATATTGATGAAATGTAGATGTAGATAGATGTAGATCTACATCCATCTACTTGGGGGTTTGGCTACAGCGCCACATCACCTCTCTGAGGGGTGCAGGCGAAGACGGAACCAAAAGAATGGGGACGTGGCACGAGTAGTGGGTAATGTTGTCAGCGACTTTCCCATCGGCGAGGATCAGGGTGCGTGGCTTTGGTAGCTTATTGGTTTGAATCTTATGAGGGACCTGCGGCCCCCCGTGCCCCCCGCAGCTAGGATGCCAGCGCAAGCTTATCATCATGAAAAAGCTCTCTTCGCATCTTCATTTTCATATATATTGTATTTGGCGTGATACAAAATCTATTAATTCACAAGCACTAGCTGGGAAGATTTCTCTGAGACGGTGATCCAGAAGGCCCAGGAATTTAATGCCAATCATAGACTTCTCGTCAATAATAAGGTATTTGCAATGTTAGAAGAGAATCTGCAAAGAACACAAGTTCGATCTTGAGAGTTTCTGAGAGAGCCCCCGAGGGGGGGTTTTGACAGGAATCTTGAATAGGCTATGTAATGTGCGGCCGTGGAAGTTGTGGGCAGCGATCCCCGTCGGAGCAGCCCGCAAAACAGGGTCTCTCACCCCTGCCATAGTAGCCATATCTTCCAACTTCTTGCTTGCCTGTAAAAGCACGTATGTCTTGCCTGTTCCCGCGACACCATCGAGGTTGACCCTCAACTGAGGAGGGTTCTTTCCGGCAAGAAAATCGCTGTAATGATCGACAATCAGGCTGTAAACCGTACGTTGCTCGCGGTTAAGTAAGTCAACAGAGTTCAAAGAGGGGAGAAGCTGCTGCGCAGGAAATGCACGCTTGGTAACATCCCAAAACAACGGGTTAATTTTATACTTGCCTACGTGATGGCTCCAGTCATATTGTCGATCAGAGTCCCGTTCTCCCAAGTTATGGCCATCCTCAACTCGCGTCAAGTCGTTTCCCGGGTGTGCAAGCCCGTAGGTTTCGAAATCTGCAAGCGGCGCAGGAGGGGTGGGCTGGGATGGGTTGACGTCTTCGAATTCCTCATTGTCATCGGACTCTGCATCATCATCGTCGACATCCAAGTTATCGTAAAGGTCATCCCCATAGTTGTGGTTATCGCAACAGAGTTCATATGCTTCTTGAAAGGTCTCGGCTTGGAATCCATCCACTTCCAGAAGGTCTTCCACCTTTTCGAATGGATGCGACAACATCATCTTCACTCGACAGTAGTCCTCATACTCATCGTCGGTCGGGTTTGACTTGTAGCGAGGAAAGAACGTCACAGTCCGCGGTTTGCCTTTAGACAGGGGTCGAAACCTGCTGGCATCGTAGTGCTGCAGCCAATCGATCAGAGTTACATCTCTCAAGTGCTCCCCACCACTGGCATGCTCAACCCGCATTCTATAGCGCTTGTATGCCGAAAGCCCTTCTTTCACCGCCATATCTTCCCCTGCCTCACCAACATCAAACTGGATATGGCGATCTTGAGCGTGGTCAGGACGACAATCCAAAATTATGCATTGCCTTGTCGACTTCTGCTGAGGAATCTTGAGTAAGATATGAGAAATCTCTTGCGCAGACAAATCACGTTCCCCAATAAGCTTATTGAGCAGCCTCGCCGCAAAGGAAGCAATTGGACGACGATCACTAACATATGGCAGAATCTGCTCCTGCAGCTCTTGATATGAGGCAGATCTGATTTCTGGCTTCGACACATACTTGGCAACATAGAGGATCAGTCCCTTATATGTAACCGCCGGCTGCAAGTCTGTGTTTGCTAACCACCCAAGGGCCACCACCGGCGAGCACTGGGCAAGGCGTTCCACATTGCGTTCCACACCTAGCATCCAACTCTTTTTGTTGATACTCTTCGTGACCAGAGCACGTTCTTGAAGCTCCCGAGGAAAGAAAAACCGGCATTCTCCGCAACTGCCGTGTCTGCAAGCAGGACTTGCCCGAAGTCGAATTTCGAAGCGTCAAGGACACTTCGAAGTTTATAGGGTAGTGTACTAACTGTAGGGAACGCTGAAAGGAGCAGGGAACCGAATCCCGAGTCGCTGTCGCCACGATGTGGAATATCGTCTTGAGGCTATCGCCGTCAAAGTCACGAAGAGGACCCATTCGGTAGCTAGCCTGACGCCTCCAAGGCGGACCGCGCCAGCTCTGCACACTATCTCGACGCGTTGGTTACGAACACCAGTTTCATTTTCTGTCAAAAGAAAGATAATAATCAATTACGCCGCAACTCCTCGCCCTCCCTTAAGCAATCTTCAAGATTACTCCTACTTTAACGCGTGTCTGGATAGTCATGCCCAGCGCCTGCTCTCGAAGCAAGCAGAAAATCACTTACATTATAGCCACATATTTGCTTCATGTAAGCCAGCATTGCCGCCTAGAAACTATTTTGCACGTCTTCAAGTGAATTGGACAACGAGGGGCTCTTCTTGATTTCTTCGCAGAGGAGTAAGTTACACCGCTGCTGTAGGCAGTTTACTTCCATTTATAGGAAGGTCGCAGACCAAGCTAAGCACTTTTTCAATAAAGGACCTCATCCACCATTCAATTTAGCCTATAGACAGATTGCCACGATTTAGCAGCTATGGATCGCATTGAACAGTGAATTAGTCTTTGATTAAATCTATCTATCTAGGTAATTGAGGTCTCTTTATAGTTGGTGATAGCTTCAAAATAACCTGTTTTCGTAGCCATTTAATTTCCATTGAAACAGCTAGTGTTTTAGGGCTGCAGCTACTGTCCGAGCCCTTCTTTCATTGAATTCCGTTGAACAGATCACATTGTAATAATCACCCTATCAATCCATCGAGTAATCGACTCAAATTGATTGACGTTGCATCCATAAGCATTACCGAATTGTACGGTTCGTTGTACCTTGTAAGACAAGTATATAATATAATCACTAAAGGACGTAAGACATAGAGCAGAGAATTGCTTAAATTACATAGCCACACGTTTGCCCGTGCAAGCCAGGAGCGGACATGACTTTCTAACTAAATGCTTTAAGCAGGAGACATGCTCACAAGTCTAGCATTGCCTTTGACAGATAATTATCTCGAAACTAGGCTACAAGAGACGATGGTCTGGCCTTGTTACTTTCTCCAACGGTCTCAATCCACAATCCCAACCAGATTGGATAAAACCACGCATGACTTTCGTGACAGGACGAACAAGCCAAGTAAATCAATTCAGACACAATCAAATGAGATCATAAACAATCTTAGTGCCGTATAAATAGGAATCTGGAGAAGATGTCCATTCTTTGGCCGCACAGCCCTCATGACACTGTTCCATGAATTGAAATAGCATGCCTTTGAAGATGCATCCTATGTAAGAGAGTCATATCACAGACCTGGCACACCGACTGGTCGTTGTCTCGCAATTGCGATAGGTGTCTTCGGCGGAAGTGCTTGCTCAAATCTCCTGGAGTATAAAATTCCTGGATCTTATCTTCCACACGAGGATCGTCGAGTGGCAGCCGCAGTGCAGCGCCAATGCATAGAAAGCACCTCCTGGGTCTCTGCTCCGGCTTGTCAATAAAAACGGACATAGTCGCGAGGAATAACGGATTATCTTCCGACGGCTCATGAAGGCTCTCACGCGAGACCGTTGTAGACGGAATATTAGTCCGGCGTACAGTTGGCCCTTCCTCTACGTTGCAATATGCAACTATGGCTTCAATCGCGTCATCCCTTCGTCGATATTGACCATCAAGAGTATCATCGACCGGAGCTGTAAGTGCGTCAACTAGCAACTTTTGAGCCGGCCGCCGAGGACGGACTGCATGATCCACCAATGGTTTTGCAAATCCAATTCCTTGTAGTTGACGTTCAATATCGTCCACAGCCTGTTCGTCCGTCCAGTCGTCTCGAATTTTCTGTTTGAGTTCTCGTTTTAGCTTCTGCTTTAACGATCGCAACTCGCGGTGTGTCTTTTTGTGCTGTTCAGAACCCGGGCGTAATTTCCGCATCTGGGTTGTAAGCCGTCGAACACGAGGATCTGATGCGACAGACGCCGTTTGTTCAGCAGTGAGACCTGTTGGTCGCCGTTTGCTCATTGAGTGGCCAATGCTGCAAGCCTGATCAATAAGTGCGTGCTGTGGCTTTTGCCGACGGATAACGGCCCATGGGTCGGCACGGACAATACGGCCGAGGTAGTGTTTCTGGAAAGGGGTAGAGTTGGCGTGGTCAAGGGATAAGTTTCGAAGCGCTTCACTCATGTCGGCTGTTACATCAAATGTTAAAGATGTCCTTTCAAAGTAGATGGACTTCACTTACGGCTTTGGTCAAATTCATTGGCAGCATTATAGCGGAGGCTGTATGGTATTGTTTCGTATTGAAGTCCCATTATCTCGCCCACTCTTTTGATCCAGCTCGCGATCATGCCATGGGTGATGGTCTTTGTCGCTGACATTTCATACCCAGTCAAGGTCTTGACCGCGCGACGAAATATGCACACCTCTTTGAGATCACTTCTTAGAGGTAGAGGCAGCTCCCGCTCGCCGGGATGTATGTCCAGCCCATCTAGTTGCCTAGGAGAGGTAAGATGGGATGCGCGAAATGCCCCGTGCCGGAATAGAATACCTAGCAGAAAGGCATGTGGACTAAGGAGCAGGGACGGGTCAAACATCATCTCTGGGATCGTAAATGTTTTGCTGGTAGCGTATTAGCAGGGGTAATTCAAGCAATGAATACAGGGACAACAGGAATACTGCACTAACGCATCCTTAGTACCAAGATATGACTTCGTGAACTCCAATGTGAATCGAATTAAGATCTTGTGCGGTCCACCTTCCGGGTCTCTCGCTAGGGCGACTCGGATATCTCCGAAGCGAAGCTGCAGGATGGACGTCGGGCGAGAGCCTGCGGGCGCAAGCAAAAGGAGGAAGAGCACGGCCAAAATTCGGAGTTCCCCAAGGTCAAATGATTTCTTTGTGGTGCTCAGCGTCGTCTCAATTTGCTCCTTTAGATCGTTGATAGTCATGCAGCGATTCGCTCTCTTCTGGTCGCTTAGCCCATGAGTTCTTGCAAGCTCTCGGAGGACCTAAGGAAAAGTTAAAACCTATATGTTCATCTATATTAAGTATGACTTACCTTATGCATATTGCGGTTCAGTTTTGGATCGAGCTTCGTGCCGATGGCCCTCTCATATACGAGTCGGAAGACTTTCCAGGCTGTGCCCAGCGAGCTGCTCTTAGTAGTGCCTCTCAATCTTCTACCGTCCTTGCTCGCCTTTTGATTCAATCGCCATTCAAAGAATTTATAGAGTATGCCTATGGAAATAGACTCGAGGCACACGTGCGGGTCATGCGATAGAACTTCATTGCAAAATCTACGGTGGACCGTTAGAAAATAGAGCCCACGGGAGTTTAGTAAATAGCGTGACTTACTGTTGCCACTGCACCTCTATCGCGTCCAACAGGACTGTACTCCCGTGGCTGTAGTCTTCGCCACCGAATGAGCTTTCATTAAATTGTTCTATACCAAGCCGGTAATATTCAGGCGGATGTATGTTTCCACCAAAAAGTTGGATTTGATCTTCAACGTCCAAATTATCATTGTCCTCGACGTCGAGATCCGTTACATCAGTTTCATCGCCAGACAGATCCACTTCGTCCACGTCGAAGCAGCTCTCGATCTCTGGCGAAAAAGAGGACTCGGAATCGTCCGCATCGGGCGAGCGTCGATGGCGTGCCATGACGGGTCAAATGGTGTGAGGTTGCGATCTGGGCGAGGCGATGGGTGCGACTGGAGAGGCTTGAGCTTAATTTGGATGAGAGTGGCAGGGTTGTACGGAGAACAAAAAGATCGCCTTGCCGCCGCGGCCGCGAGGGCGGGCTTTTAAATGCAACTGTAGAGACCATTTCTAGGTTCTTAAAAAGGGCAGTGAGTTGACAAGAGCATGTTGCTCGGAGCTTGGTTCAAAGTTCTCATAAATTGGCCAGCTCACTTAGCCGCCTTGTCCGGATCCTGCCCAATGAGGAGTGAGTACCTTGTGGTACGTCGCGGAACATTAACTGATGTGGTCAACCAGTGGGCCAGACGCCATTGCTTAAAGCGGCGTTGGATCCTTGGCGAATGGACCACCTCTTTCCGTGGCTAAAACCACCAAAATTGGTGGTGCTTTTGCCGTCTTTTTCTTAAAGGTAGTTAATTAGTTTTTTAATTAACTTATAAATTATTTACTTATAATTAAGGTATTTTTAATATAATATTATATTTTAAAATTATTATAATATTTAATATTCAGGCTTTTGGGGATTGTATTGTGACATGGCGAATGGAGTATTTTTGATCTGGAGCAACACGTACAGCTCGATATCGCGGCGTGCAAAGAGAATCGCCTAGTAGTACATAACTTAGATATCCCCAGCAAATACCCGCTTGCTTTTCCAGGTCACCCCCATTCTACTAGTCCCACGAAGTTCTTGTCCTGCCAAGTCCCAATTTGGCGAAGTGAGGGCTGCTTCTGATAGTTTTGACAGACGTGGGAACATGTAACGTTTCACAGTCGCATGTCCCGAGGGAAGCTGTATGCCGCGAGCCCCGTCTGTATCGCGGCATCGAGCCATGACGGATGAACAATGAGATCGTATTTCCCAGCCCCGACGCGACTCGTCCCCAATGAAGCTCCGGGGCAAAACCCGCCTTGCAGTAGGTGGACCTGATGCCCGTAAGTAATGGGATGGCTGTAGTTGTAGCCCAGCCGGGCGAGCTGAGAAGCGGTCGAGATGCCCGAGGGATGCCGACTGCCATCGTGCCGCCCCCCCGGCATTCGACTTGGTCCCATGTTGAAGAAGCTGTTACCATAAAGTGCAGCGCCCTCATCAGACAAGTTTATTGGTTGTGCCATGGTGACTCCTATCCGGTCGAATCAATATGGTGCGGTGGTATGTGGTTGAGGGGGGAGGGAGGTCTCGCCGTCATTCAAGGAGTCCACATGGTGTTGGTCTCGTAGGTCTTGCTTGATGTAGTGCTTGCACGGGCATTTAAACAGATTTAAAAATAAAAAAAAATAAAGATAAAAGAAGCATGGTGGTAAAATTAAAAAGACGTAAGCTACACTAGAATTATACAGGTAAACGTCTATTCGAACTAGGACCGAGGGGGTATCACATGTTTAGGAAACGGGGTATGCGTACTCATGTGCCTTGCTCGAAGAGAAAGGACACCAGATGCATGCCCTTTTCTTGCAAGTCCATCCGAATCTGCTCGGCGAGATTACTGCGGGGGCGCCCAAGGTTGGGTTTCCTGTCCACATGATTACCTACCTAGGTATAGGTACCTAGGTAGGTAGTCATGTCCTGCTGGTGGTCGTCTTGCCAGCAACGAGTGCAGGTGTCCTCTGCCGCTTTCCTACTCTCCTGCGCTCCAATCTTGCTCTTGCTTGAATGCAGCGCCTTCCGACCGTGTGCGAGCACCCTTGGAGCCTGCAATATTTCCCACCTGATGATATCTAATCATCAGTTTCGCTTCCGTCGTATGAGCGTGCATCCTTTTCGGCCTCTGAATCGTCGCCGGGAGGTGATTCGCCATCGCTGCCCCCCTCGTCGTCACTCGTGGCAGCGTCATCCTCGTCGTCACTCGTGTCAGTGTTATCTGTGACAAGATCATCCTCGTTTGCATCTGACTCCACGTCCTCAAGGACATTATATAGATCGACGGCTTCAACTTGGTCCAATTCTGTATCCGGATCGAAATACTCGGGCAAAATGTTCTCTGCCAAAAGACCCGTCCACGATGGCAGTGGGTGAGGTAAATCGAAGAATTGGGCAGGCTGGTCAGCAAATGTTTGGCAGGCTGCCTCAAGCCTTTCTAGGCCGGGGGGAAAATAGTGAAATTGCCTGGACAAAGCTGTTTCGTCCCAAGGGTTGGGCCCTGTTTCGAAGGCACACTCGATGAGCTCATGCGTATTGCTCGCTATAGCGTCTACCATGTCGGGAAAGCCGTCGAAAGAATCTGTACCTGGTGTCAGTGAAGCTCGACACTACCATGAACTGTCCACTTACACCCTCCTTGATGAGACCTTATACAAGACATATCTACCGTGGGATGTTGTTCTTCCACTCCACCCCACGAAGCCTCGAGTACCCTCTGCCAAGTCGCATCACGCTGGATTAGGTCTCGAAACAAGCGAGTGGCTAGCTGCGGTGCAGGGTCTCCGTCGAAAACCAATTTGAAGGAGCGCCGTGGCATCCCCGAACGGACCAGTTCCAGCGCTTCCATTGCCCAGCGAGAAAACACGCGTGTTATTCTATAACTGGCAAGCCTCGCACCATTTGCTGACTCTTCTCCACCATGATGCTCGGGATTTGTATAGAATAGCCAATCATTCTCTGGAGTCCAGGACAGAATGCAGCTATCTGTGTATGTTGTTTGCAAAAGAGTTCTCCATATATTTACACGACGCTCGACATAGAGGCGGGGGTTTTCTTGGCAATAGGGTATTAGTCCTAGAGCATGGCATTCAGGGAATGCAACGCTATGAGAAGTCTCATGAAGGCAAATGCGTCGCAGTTGCATTCTAAGCTGCTCCGGACACTGCGAGAGAAATCGTATAGCCTTGGATGCAGCAGAGAACCTGTATTTCCCCTGAGTGAACTGCCGCATGCCGTTTGCATCGAGGTGAGGCTTTAGCCAGTATCGGTAACCTTGTCGTCGGATCATCCTGGCTTTACCAAACATTCTCGTAAAGTCTTTTCTGGATGGATTATAATGCCAAGGGCAAAACTCCTGAGACGCTGCATATGCCCTCTCCGCATCAGAATAAGAAAGCATGGAATGCGTCTTTGGGATTGAGCCCTGCTCCACTGCGAGTCCAAAGGTCCGCCACCCGGCTTTGAAGAAGACGGATAGGGGAATGGCAAAGTCCTCGGCGACGCTAACTTGAAGGTCGCCGTACGTGTCAGGGAGACCGTCAATGGCATCAAAAACTGGTTGCATTGGAGGAAATTCTGCGACCACCTCATCTTCGATATCTTGCGTGAAGTCAACCCCGCCTTCTTCGTCCGGTGAAAGAAACTCAACGAGGCGAACTAGGGAGATGGCCAAGGTGGCTTCGAAACGAGCGGCTGAGATGCGCTCCTCGTCTGAATATTCTACTTTAAAGTGCAACGTATTGCGACCAAGCGCGAGGCCGCTCATCTCGCGAGCAATCTGCTTGCATGTGAGCTGCAGGGCAAAGTCGTGCTTCTGATTACCGGTCGCAGTGACAAGCTTATTGGTTCGGGGATTGACGACGTAGCCTCCATCTACGTCGACGTAGGCATTGTAGACGGCGTGTCGGATCTCGGACGGCAGATCGAGGAAATGCAGCTGCGAAGCGGGCGCCATGGCGGCAGGGGCAGAAGCGGCCGGTCGGGATATGTTGGTAGTGGCTCAGAACAAGAAGGGCCTGGGGTGATGGTGGAAAGTATGTCAATGCGAGGAAATACCAGACATGGGTCAAGCATCGCAAACAGCGCACAGGAAGGGGTGGGCTGGCAGCTTATGTACATACATAGGCGTGACAAGAGGTGCGGGCTCCAGCTGTGGGAACCAAAAAATAAAGTTGGACAGTCCGGCGAAGTGAGTCACAGCCCGATGTGGCGTCAATGTGCGTGCATCAGCCAGCAGCTTGTGGCGCCAGTGGTGGGCCACGACGAGACCAGGATACCGTCTGGTGTAAAACATCCAGCATAGTGCCGGCACCGTAAAAGACCAGTCTACATGTCAACTGGTGAAGTAGGTACACACTTATGTACAAGTATGTTTATACCGTGAAAATACAGTCCCGGCACATTGTGTAATTCAGGTGCAAAAAAGTGCCAAAAGCCCGCCACACACGCTAAAAAAAATTACACCAGCCTAGTACCACCCGACACATGACTAATTAATGTAACATCAATTGATAGGATTAAATTCACGACTTTATGTGTAATTACAGCGTACAGATTATCATTTAGGAAAGGTGACATTTTGTAGCATTTAATGCATCACGCCCTAAAATGACATGCATGTGCGCTGGCCTTGGCGTCAATTGATGCAAGCACTCATGTCTCCGACAAGACGTCGTGGGTTGCAAGGAAATCCTGGTTGATACATGGACAAGCAAACATGCACACATCACGACTCAAAGCGAGGCTGCCCCTTTTTTTCTTTTTCAGCGTGGTACGTCGCTTACTTTCCTATTAAATTATAATAAAAAAAATAAAAAAAAGGCTAGTTAATTACCAGGACCTACTAGTAATATAATTAATAGCTATACCTAGCTAATTTAATAGTAATATATAATTTAAAAAACATTATATACACGTATTATAATACGTTAAATTTACTAGCTTAAAAGGTGATTTATAACTTTATATGCTAATAAAAGTATATAATAATAATAGTAACTTATAACTATGTAAGTTATACCCCAAAAAACTTAGAGTAATCTAATATAATATAAATTAATAAAGTCCTGACTTTTATAAAGCCTATTATTTTCTTTATAATTACCTTATTTTACCTTTATATACCTAATTTAAATAAATTACTTTATAAAGTAGTTACTTATAGGTCTCTGGCTTTATATTGCTTCTTAAAGTACTTATTAATATCAGACTTAGTTAATAGTTAATAACCTAAAAAAAAAACTATAATTATAACTAGTATTAAAAAAGGTAATAAGCTTAATATAAGTAAGTTACTTATTATAACTTTAGGAATTAAAGC